GCACCGGGTCTTCTGTCCTCTCGGCACTGGGGGCCCCACAAGCTCTCACCTGCCCCTAACCTGTCCTCCTGGTGGGAGATGCTCACCACCCTGGAAAGCATGGCCCGGGGACCTCTAGTTGTCTCCACTCGACATTCCCGGGACACGCTTCCAGAAGCTTCTTGACTCTGTAGGGTGACATCTGAGCAGTAACCAGGAACCAGAGTGAGCCTAGCACCACACACACACACACACTCACACTCACACACACACACACACACACACACACACACGCACTCAGAAAACCACTCCCATTTTAGTAAGGGCCACTTGCCACCTCAGCCCCCAAGAGCAGGCAGGGCTTGGCCACCCGATGGGCAGCCCTGCCAGGTAGACCTTCCTGCGATGCTGTGTCACCGTGAGAAACCTTTAAACCTGCAGATAACTTGTATGAGCTTATCTGAGCCAAACTGACAACAACTGTTGAGAAGCAAAACCTCAACTGAGTGAGAAAGTGCTTCAGAGAATGGCAGCTTTGCACCTTATTTTATGCATTACTAGAGGCCCAGTGCATGAAATTCATGCACTGGGGGAGGAAGGGGATCGAGCCCCCAATCAGGTCAACACTCAGCTCAGCCTGCACCCTGCACCCTCTCCAATCTGGGACCCCTAGGGGGATGTCTGACAATCCTGGACTGCTGGCTCTTAATCGTTCTCCTGCCTGCCTGCCTGGTCGCCCTCAAGAGCCCCTTCCCTGCTGACCTGGTCACTCTTAAACTGCCCCCCCCGCCAGCCTGGCCACCCCTTTCTGCCTCCCCTGCCCAACTTGGTTGCTCCCAACTGCCCCCTCTGCCAGCCTGGTCACCCCTAACTGACTCCTGCTGGCCTGGCCATCCTCAACTGCCCCCCTACCAGCCTAGTCGTCTCTCACTGTCCCTCCTGCCAGCCTAATCACTCCCAACTGTGCCCCTCTGCCATCCTGGTCGCCCCTAACTGCCAGCCTGGTCGCCTCACACAGCCTGCTTTTTCAGTCATTTGGTCATCTCTCACTAACCTCCCTGCCAGCCTGGTCATAGGCAGTCATCTTGTGAGAGCATGAGGGTCAATTTGACATTACCTCCTTATTATATAGGATTATTATATAGGATAACCAAAGGAGGAGGCGAAAGGGGTTACAGGCAGTCCATTGGTGATAGATCAGGAGGCGGGGAAATCTCTGGGAATAGATAAAAAGTAAAATGAATAGACACACACTTCCCTTCCATTGGTGGGTATAGGAGAGTTAGTGGTTAACTATTAACACGATCACAGAGCAATGCGGGGATTTGTGGTCTCTGCTCTGGTGCAGTGGGGCTTGGGAAAGGGAAGCTACCTGACATCCTAAAGGTGTGTCATCGTAGATGCAACAGGACAACAGACAGGCTCAGTTAAGGCAAAGGCCAGTCTTTGTCAGGGAAGATGCCGGCCCAGGACACGCCCACCCCCCAGGACTCGTTTCAGTAAGGGAGTTTTCAGTCAGACCTTCCCATGTGGTTCCTTTTGGCCTCTGATCCAGGACCAGCCGGCAGGCCTCCCCTGAGCTTGTCAGGCGAGCACGTGGCCCCTCCTTGTCCACAGTAGAGACATCCTGTCATCTGCCTTTTCAACATGACAGCCATTAGCCACACGTGGCTGCTGAGCCTCGAATGTAACCTGTGCGGCTACGAAATGGGGTTTTTCATTTTGTTTAATTCTAATGAACCCGAGTGGCCACAGAATCTTTCCAAAAATCGGGACTGTTTTAAAACGCCGCGGGCCGCGGAACAAATTGTTAAAAATCGGGAATGTCCCGCCAAAAGCGGGACATCTGGTCACCTTATTCTAAGGGACAACGAATGCTCAGAACCCCTGCCCAAGGGCACCCACTGCATCCCAGCCTTTGTTTACAGCCTCAAAGCAAAGCTCCCCGGACACTGCCACCCTTGTCATTGGTGGGTGTCTCTCTTCATTTATAATAGTTTTTCTTATACAAAACGGTGAGTGATTCTTGGAATCTTGGCAAGTGTAGGGGCACACTTTTTGCATCCATATTGTCACTGCTGATTCAAACCTTTCTCATATTTATATGAGACGAAAGGGAGCTCAAATTAGCTATTTACAAAACAAATATGCACTTGTATAAACCTTTATTTTTAAATGTATTTTTATTGATTTCAGAGAGGAAGGGAGGAGAGAGAGAAACATCCATGATGAGAGAGAATCATTGATTGGCTGCCTTCCTGCACGTCCCACACTGGGGATCGAGCCCACAATCAGGGCATGTACCCTGATCGGGAATCACAGTGCCACCTTCTGGTTCATAGGTTAACACTCAACCACTGAACCACACTGGCTGGGCTATAAACTTTATTTAAAAAGCAAAATACATAGGATCATGAGATCACCAAGGAATCTGGCCCACCCGAGAAAAGGCTGGTGGTTGGGATTGTGGCACCAGAATTCAGGAGTCAGCTAAGCAGCAGATGGGACAGGCCTAGAGGTCTTACAATGCTCTGAGTATTTCTGAGAGGTCTTGTTATTGCTGTTGAGGGAGCTGGCTGCGAGAGGGCTGCTCAGACCAGCATCATTGGAGGGCAGGTGGGAGCTGAGGGCTGGAGGGGGAACAACAGCAGTGATAAAAACAACAACAACCAAAAAACACCACTAACACGCGATTGGAGGCCAGAGACAGAGATGACAGCTTCAGGATGAGTAGGCCTGGAGCCGGGGCCACAGGCAGCCAGTCCTGAGGAGGCACGAGGGCTGGGCTCCGGCCATGCTTGGCCATGACCCAGACTCAGGCAGTGGGATCCTGACCAGCTCCCCGAGGGGCTTTGCCTCCTCTCAGGTAGTTTATTTAGTGAGACCCAGGGAATGATCCTTGGATAGGGAAGGGGAGTGGGGATGACAGGCAGGGAGGGACTATGTCAGGGATGCATCCACACAGGCTCTGAGCTGCATTCTGGGAAGGCAAGAACTTGGAGTTGGGGAAAGACCTGAGACCTTGGGTTCCTGAAAGGACAGCAAGGAGAGGGAATAAGGACCTTCTATGGCCGTTGGTTTGCTCTGCAGAGGGCGCCCTGCAGCACCACGGTGGGGGTCAGAGACCTGCAGGTGGACCCAGCTTCAGGACTGACTGTCCCACACACCAAACGCCCTGAAGTTGAATTTCCTGTCCACGAGCTTAGGTGTCTCTCTGACTGGATGCCCTTATTGGCTTTCAGATGTGCCTGTGTCCACTCATGCTCTGCTGCCACTCAGGATGGGGCATCTCACCAGCCACTTAACGAAAGCCCACAAGGAAAGCTTCAAAAGTAGAGAAGGAGAAAATTGAGGGGGAAAGGTGTCATGCAATACGAGGACTGGCCACGAGGTGTCACTGTGGCTCCAAGCCTATACTTCTTTCCGCCAAGACACTGTAGAGTTTCATAGTAATAATCCCACAAGATTGTGTGCAGTTCATAATCTCCAATAAGTATCCCCCTCCAAGGTCCCATTTGGTCTTCACATCAGCTTTGATCCACTGGAAGGGCTGACAAACCCATTTCACAGTTGAGAAAACTGAGGGTGAGCATGCTCGGTGATGTTCTAAGGCAGCATGAGGATAGAGAGCCCTTAGGACACAGAAGGGACTGTCCCAGGCCACCGAGCGACACTGCAAAGCTTGACAAAGCCCTTGCTACTCCACGTGGGTGATATAAATGTGGTTTTCTGTTTTTTCTTCCCAATATCTACAAAAACCTTTTTAATTGAAAAAAGTGAGAAAGCATAAAGAAACAGAGAAAAACACTCAGGTCCCCTGGCACGCCCTGTTCCCATGTGGGCGCTTTCATGAAGAGCCAGAATCTTCAGAGGTGAGAGCAGCTTCAGGGACCACCCAGAGTCCGGCTGAGGGAGGATGGTGCCATAGGGACACCCCTGGCTAGCCAGTCCGTGTCCAGGACTGTCTGATTGCTCCTCCAGACCGTGACCTTCCTGCCCGAGTGTCCAGGAGAACTGCAGCAGAGGGTGCTCTCATCCCGGCTGCTGACTGGCTTCAGCCCTCGGTGGTTGGGGGCAGGAAGGGAATGAGGCCCCAGGATTTAGTGCCCTGCAGGCTGCTGTGCATGACTGCAATCCACCCTGAAAGCCACCCTCAGGTCACACTCTGGAACTGCTCCTTCCTCTCCCCTCTCTGATGCCAGGGTGGCCCTGGCTCCTGGCTGTTCCCCTGGCAGCTGCAGCACCTGGTTGGTTTCCCTTGACCTTGACCAGACCTCCATTCCTAGCCGGTTCGTTAAGCTCTCCTGGATACCACATGTTATGGGCTGAACTGTATCCCCATTAAAAGGTATGTTGAAGTCTTAACCCCCAGAACCTTAGAATGCCATCTTATCTGGAAAGAGGGCCATCGCAGATGTAACCAGTTGACACGAGGTCTTGCTGGGGTAGGATGGAGCCCTAATTCAATGGACCGGTGTCCTTATAAGAAAGCCATGTGAAGACAGACACAGGGAGCAGCCATGTGATAACCAAGACAGAAGTTATTCCAACTTAGAAACATCTCACAACAGCACATATCAACCAGCCTGACATGAGACTTTAGTTACCTTCAGTCTCTGGTTGAAAGCATCAAACAGTAGTTTGAACTCATCCTTTGACTCAGGATGAGGTCATGGCTTAGAGGAGACTACAAAATAAAAAAAAATAAATGAAAAACAGCCAAAACCGTTTTTGGCTCAGTGAATAGAGCGTCTGTCTGCGGACTGAAGGGTCTCAGGTTGGATTCTGGTCAAGGGCATTTGCATTGGTTGCAGGCACATCCTCCATGGGGCTGGGCAGGAGGCAGCTGGTCAATGTTTCTCTCTCATCGATGTTTCTAGCTCTCTATCCCTCGCCCTTCTTCTCTGTAAAAACTCAATAAAATATTTTAAAAATAAATAAAAATAAAAACACACACTCCAATTAATTTACTTACCA